TTGTTTTTTATATCAAGCACAGGTAAACAGTATTTTCTGGTTGTATATCCATATTTTTCAATTTCTTATGCATTGGTGATTTAACTAAGTTTCAAAAAATGCTTCTTGGGATGTAAGTAGATAAACTTCTGTATGTGTTACATACATTATTAGTAACTTTGGGAAGCTTTCAGATATACACACATTTTGTTAAGAGTACTTATATTCATTATAATTATTTCTTTTAGAGCGAACAAGTAGAAGAATAAAATGAATACCACAAAATGTTTTTAATCATTATTACACTGAATGTTCTTTTGAAGGCCTTCACTCTTAATATATTTTTCAACAAGCAGTCTCTAAGAGTTATATGTAGTTTACTGGTTAATTTTTTCAATAAAATTGATTTGCAATTAGGAGAATTTAACAGCAGAAAACTGTATTGGTTTGACAAAAGAATAATGATTTTTAGATTTAGCTTACAGATGGAGCATTTCAAGTGAACTTTAAAATAACTTTGTAAGTGAATGAAATGTAATACCTTAACATATTGGTCCAGTAAACGCTAGTATCTATACACTAATTTTGTAGTCAGTAGTATTCGTGTAATACTATAAGTAAGTTTTATAGGAAGTGGCTTAGGCTTTTATGAATGCACCTTTGATTTTCTCTAAAGAACTTTCAAGTTATTCTGGTAGTCTCACCACTTTATATTCTACACAAAATTAAACCGATTAATTTAGGAAGCTTGTACAGAGCTTATACTTAAAAAGGTTTTTTTGAAAAATGTTTCACCATTAAATAAATATAGGAATCAGTTGTAGTTTTAATTTTGATTTTGTCATTACAGAAAATATTTTAATCTTCAGTTATTGTGACCTTTTAATATCAAAAACACCAGATTTACGATTTAGTTCAATTTGTTATGGTGGCTAATCTGTATATCTGATCAGATTGAATACTACATAGGTGAATAAGCTAGCCTTTATCCAGTCATAGTTTAGTGCTAAACTAGAAACATTGAAATTCCACACACATACACAGTTAAAAAACAAAAAAATGTCAAGAAGAGTATACTATTTAAGGTGTTTCATCCCATTTTACAAGTAAAAATGCTAATTGACTGAAGTTAAAATCTATTATAAAAGCTAATTCGTTGTGTGAATTCCTCACTTAAACTTCATTTTCATTTTTTTCCCTCACTGGAGCTTCTTTCTTAAGTTATATAAATCAGCTCTGTAACTAGTAAGTAAAGTTTAATAAATAACCGTTAAGTTATTGAACATGCAAATTTTTTTTTAAGAATACTTGTAAAATGAAAAGCTGCAAAAAATAAAGAAATGAAGAATTATATTTTTTGTATTTCTATGGTCATGCGTAAATAAAGTTAGGTTATTAGTTTATTTTATGGTCTGGTTTAGAAGTGTGAGATCAGATATTGGCTAATGGTGAGTTAGGCTTAGTAGATACAATGTTTTAGTATATTTTTTGTTTGGTTTCCCCCAGTTTTACTCTTCATTGGGTTGTAATACTTAGAACTATCAATAAGTATCATATATACTGAAGATGAGAAAGTTTTGGAAGTAACAGTTTATTACCTTTTCACATATGGTGTTATATTTATCATTGACACTTGGAAAAAGTCATGATTTGACTGAACGTTTTAAAAAGCTTTATGTTTTTCATTTCATTCTTGTGGAAAGGGCAATGTACAAAACAGGACAGAATGTAAAAGCAAATCTTTTGAGAAACTGATAATGTGGTTCTGAGGTTAAATTTCATAATTTTTCAGGATACCACTATTTTAATGAATTCTGTATTTACTAAAAATTAAAGGAAAAAAAAAGATGTAATTGGCAACCAAACTTGAACAATAAGGATATCTATTTCAAATGTTGAGATTTTGGATTTGTTATATGAATTTTCCCATGTACATCCTTTTAATAAGTTAAAATACAAATATATGTAAGCTTTAAATTCTACTAATATGCACCAATGTGTTACCATGCACAAAATGTATGCTACTTTATGTATAGGGATCAAAGAACCATTTAGAGCCTTCCCACGTTCAGCATTTTATGAGTAAGAAACACATGTATGAAATGTAAGTTACACTTGAATATACCTAATGTATCATCCTCATGGATAAAATGTCTTCTAGTATTCGTGATGTTTAAAAAACACGTAGGTTCGAGAAGTCTTGATAGAAATGAATAATAACCCTAAAATCCTAGTGCTTTTGAAAGGTAAACCTTTCTTCTTCAGGAGCAAACTGGGAATGGTTTGCCATTCTACCCTTGAAGAAGAAAGATCTACATTTCAAAAGTGCTTGGGTTATAGGGTTTTTATTTCAAGTCTTCTAGTATGAACTTCCCTAGGTCACAGCGGCTAAAGTAAGATCATTAAGAAAAGAAATTATTAGAAATACAGGTTTACTTTGTAGATTCAAATGACTGGCACTGCCAAATAGGAGTAGCTGGAAAAAGCTCCTTGTGATATTTGTAGTTATTGCCATTTTTTGAATATTTTACATGCATAATTAAGCCAATTCTCTCTCTCTCTTCTTTTTTTTTTTTTGCAAGTATCAAGAAACCTTCAATCTGTAAATGCACATTTTGCAAATTTACTAAAGAACATTTCCAAACTAGAAAATGATTTACACAGTGATCAGTGTAATTAAAACACTAAAAGGTTTATGCTACAAGGTGGTTGGGCTTTGAGTTTTTCATGATTTGATAATATATTTGGAAGCATTCTTCTTGTACATTCATTTTTTTGGTTTCAGAAAATGTTTAACAGTTTTTCTTAATCCCTGAAGTTTCTAGGAGTTTCTCATTTTCTTTCATGTAATATACTGCTCAGTTCTTTGCAATAATTCGGTTTCTGTTTTATTTGAATATTTAGGAAGTATGGTTTGTTTGATTTTTATCTTAAAAGCTAACCCTAATAGCTTTATTCACAAAATTTCAGTGATGTTTTTGTATGAAAGAATAGGTCTGCAGACTTACAACGCTAGAAACCAGGTTTCAATACCCATTGTGGTCAGAGCACAGATAGCCCATTGTGTAGCTTTGTGTTTAATTACAAAACAAACAAAAGAAGAGAATCAAATTAAACAGTGTAAACATGAGATTCTGAAATGGTTAGAGTAAAGTAACAAAATATATATATATTAAATATCTATTCACATGAAACATTTTCTGTTTGTACACTCAGTCACTTGCCTATGATACTACTACTAAGAAGAATATTTTCTTGCCATAGTCATTTGCTTTTCTGGAAATGGAGTAAATAGCATTATGTTTTGCTCACCATTTTCCTAAACATCAGAATGGGTTTCTGACATTATTACTGTATCCCATTTGAAATGTTCCTTTACAGTGATAGAGAATTATACCTGTGGTATAACTGGTTTGTGCTTTATACTATAGTTTTCTTGGTTTTGCAATCTAAGACAGGTTAATAAGGATACATGTATATATGTATTTGTATTGAGTAGTTTTAATTTTACCTAAAAAATGAAAGCTACTGTGTTGTACTTTAATTTTAGTCTAAGTTTATTTACTAAATTT